AAAAAAAAAGAAAAAAGAAAATGTCTGGGAAACGATGGCAATATATGTACAAATATACTTGATAAAACTGATGTATGGAATGTTAAAAGAAGTGTAAGAGCACCCACTAAGAGAATGAAAATACAACAAAGAAATAATTTTGTCATTCCTATTAACATTTGGAAATACTGAACTGTATTTGTACAGTGCCCTGCTAAATAATTCTTAAACATAATTGAGAGGAAAAGTGACAGTGAGAAAGAAACCCACCTGACAAGTCTGACTGATGAGTCACCACGTACCAGAAACAGGGAGGCCGTGAATCTGAACACCCGGGACCTTACCAATTGAGAAAGGTAGTTGAATCCCAGACAAAAGGGGCCACTGTTTACATGCTAGCCAACCCGGAAGCACCACCATTTTTTGAAAAATGCCAGTCCTGAGCAAAGGACCCTGCTGAACAGATAGAAGGGCATATCAGGTCTGGGCAATGTCTCACTACTTTCAGTTTTTAGGTAGCAAAATCCTGCTGGGGGACTGTGCCCAGTGTGTCCTAGCTTACTGCTCAATAAACCTGCTGTGCCACCGTCTCCTACCTGCTTGTTTGGTGACTGGGCACATCATTGGGATACAATGCCATTTCACAGTTGCATCTTTTCCAGCTCCGAGAAGGGAAATGGTCCCAGGTCCCATTTGTACAGGCTTTATGGTTTTGTGGGAATACCCAGAAATTTTTTTCAAGCAGTTCCCCAAGTATCCCACTGAAGCCCACCCCAACCTTCCCAGCCACTCTGATTTGTAAAAAAGAAGCTGACCCAGGAAAATACAGAAGTTACCTTCAAACCACACTCCACAAGAGCCACTGGTCAAAAAAGAGTAAAAGTGCCCCAGACCCCCAGGAGCCTTACCCATCTTCCAGAGACTTGCTTGGTGAAGCCACAACTGGAAGGGTGGCTCTACCACACCCTATACCTTTTACATGATGTGCTCAGGGGCAATGGGTTCATGCTCTATGTTCAGGAGAAGCAGAAAGAGCTTTTTTCAAAGATCAATGTAGTATGTTCAGAGAAGCTGCCAGTTTTAAGTATAGTAAACACAACAACTATGATCTACCTGGCTTACCTCTAAAGGAATGGGATCCTACTCCTATAGCGAAAAGATGGTTCAGGATAAATCATGCAGTAGATTGATGATGCTCACATAAGAGTGAATTTTGCAAGTGAGGAGGTCTATCAAGAAGCATTATAGAAACACATTGAACAAGTTGATTTTTTTGGGTAGGTATTAAATTTTTCTTATAACAATCTAGTTTTGTGCACCTCTTTTATTATTCTTGTTGATATTTTTGCTGAAGTACTAACTGTATGAAATAATAAACCACCGTTTGGAGTATCTTTTGTTATACATAAAATAGCCATTAGGGCAGAGAACCGGTTGTTAGTTATTTAAGTCTCACCACCAGTTACATCCACCCCAAGCTGCAGGTACTGTTTAATGAATACTGTCTTTTGGTTGGAGGTGGGTTAATTTAAACTTCTGAAGGGAAGCGGCAATAGTTTGTTCATGAATTCTACCAGATTCGCAAGATTAATGCAAAAGAGGAACAGAGTACAGGATGCCTCAGCTAGCTACTGTGGCACAGAGCAGCATCAAATTCAAAATGATAATAATTTAAGGGAATAATGATCAATGGATGTAAATTTAGTAGACAATGTAAGATATTTGTACCACCTCAAAAAACACCAGCCTACAAGAACTTAAGAATTACAAAGGGTAAAATTCTTAACTATTCAGTGGGTAAAACTTGAAAAGATGGAAGCAAAGCAAAACCAATTAGCCAAAAACCACTCTCATTTCCAAATATAAGATCAACATATTTTATTGTGACTTAAAATCAACTTAAAAATTTAAAAACACAAACTCACATATGTTCAAAGCTGCTCCCTAAATCCTTACCTGTGATACAAAAAGCTGAGGTAAATTTAGCAAGAACTGAGAAAGTACACACCTGCACAGCTGCTCATGAGACTGAAGAATTAGCCACTTATTAAGACAGATGTGTACTTTGTATACTTACAATGAAACTGTTACTTTTCCCAAATGCACAAAGTAATTTTCATGATCCCTTCTTTCCATTTCTGTTGCCTTCTTACTCTCTGAGATGCTTCCTCTTAGGAGAGACTTCAAGGAATTTGTAGACTGAAGCATCAGTATGTGGAAAACCATCCTTCCTTAAGACTTCTCTTTACTGCAAGTGTATTTGTGCATAGAGATGTCTGAGGACCAACGAAAGGTTTTGCCGCATTCCTTACACTCATAGGGCCTCTCTCCACTGTGAACTCTCTTATGTCTGTTGAGGGATGAATAATGAGAAAAGGCTTTGCCACATTCCTTACACTCAAAGGACCTCTCTCCACTGTGAACTCTCCTATGTCTGATGAGGGATGAATAATGAGAAAAGGATTTGCCACATTCTTTACATTTATAAGGCCTTTCTCCACTGTGAATTATCATATGTTGAATGACATTTGAGGACACACTAAAGGCTTTCCCACATTCTCTACATACATATGGCTTCTCTCCACTGTGAGTTCTCATATGACTATTGAGGGATGAAGACCGAACAAAGGTTTTCCCACATTCCTTGCATTCATAAGGCCTCTCTCCACTGTGATTTCTCATATGTGCAATAAGGCCTGAAGACTGAAGAAAGGCTTTCCCACATTCTCTACATACATATGGCTTCTCTCCACTGTGAGTTCTCATATGACTTTTAAGGGATGAAGACTGACCAAAGGCTTTTCCACATTCCTTACATTCATAAGGCCTTTCTCCATTGTGACTTCTCATATGTGTACGGAGGGATGAGGGATAGCGAAAGGCTTTGCCACATTCTTTACATTCATAGGGTTTCTTTCCAGTGAGAGTCTGCACTGATGTCCTGAGGTAAGGAGGCCAACTGCAGACTTCTTCACATCCATTATCTTGGTAGGTACCATATTCAAAGTGAGAGCTGATATATTGTGTAAGTGATGAATGATTCATGGAAGATTTTTCATACGGACGGTAAGATGAATAGGCTTCCACAGGAGTTCTTCTGAGCATAGAGAGATCTAGAACCCAACTGAAGGGCTGTCCACACTGAGAGTCTTCATTAACTTCACTGACATTCTCTGTTGTATGCCTTCTGTTGAAAACAAGAAACAAACAGTTAAATATTACACATTTGTTACTTTCAAAAACACTAATAAACATATATTTTTTACCTTGAATTGTTTCATGTTTCAGATTAAATCGTCTGACAAAGATGCTACCATTATTCTCATTCTATTTCTACACTTTGGTGATTTCTAATTGTACATAAGTGAAATGTTGTAATTATTCAGTATTTCACATACTTAAGAATTCACACACACACACAAACACAGAATTCACAAAATGATAAAGTCCTCAGTCAAAACACACCTGACAGTAACAGGTTTGAGATGCATGCACCATAAGGGTTACAATGCATGCATGTGTTTCTGTCTATATACTGTGGTAGTTGCAAAATTTCAGGTCCACTGGAAGCTATATAAAAGTATAGGGGTGGAGTTTAGCCTGTCAATCATGTCACAGCCTGATAGTGTTTCTTTGTGGGCATGGCCTTATCATAAGCAGGGTACTGGAACCTTCCCCACCTCTCTCTGCCTTCACCCTCCTGTTGGCTGACCCTGATTGCTGTCAAAAACACTGTCACTGGATCCTGACAACTTTGCATTCACAGGGTTGAGTTCTCTGTCAATGCAAGTGGCTATGAAAGTCTGAAGAGGGGCTTATGGACTAGTATCAGATTTAAGTTGTACTGGGCTGGCATGTTTTCTTGATATACTATTAATTTTTTATATAAAGCTCCACCTTACAAATACATAAGTGTCTCTAGATTTGTTTCTCTAGTTCACCCAGCCTAGCACATTATGGTACCTGGGGGTGGGGTATTACAGAAACAAACCATGAATATGGACAGTGTATGCTTGTCTGACCTCCGCCTTATGGTAGGTTTTCTTCATTGGCTAGCCAAAGGTCAGACAGAGCCACACTATTCACTGGGACATATGAAGTGAAGGTTTTAAATCTTAAAAGTTATCTTTGGTTATGCCTGTCTGAAAGGGTGAAAATGAATGTGATTAATGTCAATTGCCCCATGAACTTCTCTGGGGCCATGCTGCTTAATCAAAATGGATGAGTGAAAGTCTGGCCCTGGCTTGGTGCAGCCTGAGGCCTCAGGCCATATTGCGTATAAATGGGGTAATTTAGATGAGAAATTATTGAATTTGACTGTTTTCAGACTTGAGTTTATGATCTAGCTGTACAAGGATTATATGACTTCTTCTATTTATTGTTATTGATATAATGCATGATAGAAATGATTATTGGTAAGTATAAGTACAGACCGTTTGTAAGCTCACTGCTTTCAGCCATGAAATTGGTTCTATTAAATGGGTATATAAAGGAAATGCCTGCAAACATGGTAAGAAAAGGTATGCCCCACTGCGTGCCTTTGAGTGCTCAGTACATTTGCTTTGGAAAAGACATGCCTGGAGAGCAATGGGCACACTGAAGGAGACAAAAAGAAAAAAAAAAAAGTAACATTTGGCCTTTTTGAAAGTTGTACTGGCAGTTGGCTCTGAAACCTGGAAATCTCTGTGTGTTAGTCTGGAGTGACTAGAGAAACAAATTCATAAGACACTCACGTTCATAAGAAAGAGCATAACATAAAGAGTAATTGTTTATTAAGAAAACATCCCAGCACAATAAAGATCAAGTCCATAACCCATTTTTTCAATACTAGTGTATACAGTCCTCTTGAGAATCAAGCAGCACATGCAATGATGCCAAATGCTGGAAGATCACAGGTCAGTGGATGGAAGGTCTTGTGGATCCAGTGGCTGTGTAAGTGTCTCAGGAATAGTTTGAGTCTCCATCAGAGTGTCTCTATGTGGCTTGTCAACAGGAATGTCAAGCAGAGTGAGGGTCTGACCCACGGTGAGTTATTTATCTCCTTAGTGCCTCCAAATGAAGTCATCAATCTGTTACACTCCACCCCTTCACTCTTAATAGTCCCAAACTGACACCAGATTCTGTAACTACCACAGACAACCCTTTGTTAACTTGACATTTTCACCCAACTATTTAGCCATATGTAAATTTCAAACAAGCAATAATAAAATCATATCCGTACATAACAGGATAAAATTAAAATGCATACAATTTTAAAATGTGCCACCCTCATTTAAGCATAACATTCTATTAGTGAAGAACAACAACACAATATCCTATAGTTATGTGAACACCTACACCATAATCCTATGAACATAATCCCCAACCTATGAAAGTATGTAAGCCAACCACTTCATGCCTTTATCCCCGAATTTTGGGTACCCAATTTCTATACTGCCCACTTACATCAACCCAGTCCTCTGAGGATACAATCCTAATCTTTGAAGTGAAGAACCTCCATTCCAGTTGGAACTCGTGAAGTCTGCATCCATAAGCAAAGTCAAAGCAGAACAGGCCATCCATAAAGCCGGCAGCCATATGCATGTGGTCACATGCTCATTAAAAAAATCTCTGCATCTGGTCGGGTTCTGGTCAACTCAATGTGGCCTGTCTCACTTAGCCTCACCAGGCTGCCCATTGGCTGCCTTGCCTTTAGACCATGGGCCATGGAACAAATTCTCAACAACCCTGGCCACCTTGGGCTAGGTCATGAAGTTCAGACCAGTCAACCCACTCTCATCATCTCCTCTAGTCCCTCTGAACCAGGTCCATGGGTGTCAGTCGCCAGACTTGACCCATCTCTTTATTGCTGCATTTGTCTCCCAGTCAACAAGTGGATCAAGGTAGTCAACTAGCAAGCATTTCTACCTTCCCAGAAGCTCCCTTTAACTTTCTGTCCTAGAGAGGAGAGTTTCTTCACAGCTCCAATTTTTTTCCAACTAATGGCACGAACCACTAGTTCAAAATCAAAATGCTAAAGAGTTCCTTTTTTTGTTCAATCTCTCAACAGCCCCATGAGCAAGTAACTTCACCTTAGAATGTCCTGACCACTCAAGAAACTGGGTGGGGCTTATTATTCTAGAGCCTCCTTTCCAGTAATCAAAATTATATGCCCATCAAAAATTATATCAATAACAATTGACAGAAGAAAACAGCATAACCCTACTACAGAACAATCCTAAACTCAATTAACAGTCAAGTTCAACCCTTATCTATCTTATCTTAATTCTTAATCTAAATTATTCCATTCATACAAAGTATGGCCTCCAGTCAGACTCTGGCTTTCTGCCAGCCATTTTCCCAAAGAAGCACGGTCTCTCAAAAATTCAAATGGCAATTTCACCCCATGAGCTCAAAATATACATTAATCACATTCATTTTCGCCATTTCAAACAAGAATAACTAAAGACAACAACCAAAGAAGATAATCAAAACTTTACCTTCCCATATTCTTTCCAGAAACCAACCCAGTAAACTGCATGGCCACATTTGACCTCTAGCTAGCCAAAGAAGAAAAACTACAATGACTCAAAGGTCAAGCAAGCATCTGCTCTCCATCTCTATGATGGTTTGTCTAGTACCCCACTCCCAAGGAAGAGGGACTTATACACCAGCATCGGACTTAAGTTGGACTGGACTGGGCTGTTTCCTTGATGAACAACGATTTCGTGATATAAAGCATTTTCTTACACACATGAGGGACTCTGGATTTGGCCATCTAGTTTAACACAGCAAAACAAATACACATATAAGAGGATTCTAAAACATCTTGGAAAATTAGATTGCCTTTCAATTTGCCACTAGCTTTTCAAAGATTCTCTGATAAAAACATTTCAATCCCATGATACCATCTTCAAACTCTCTTCTGAAGCACTGCTCTATCTCAAGTGAGTGACACTCACCTCACACATGCAGTCTGGTCCTTATTCTGATCTTCAGTGACAGGCAATTCACAGACTTCTCCTATCATAGTGGACCAGGTGTCATTTTTCATGAAATGTATTGTATCTTCAGAGGACACTTCTCCATTATTAAAGTTTTGAGAAACTGAAAACATGATTAAAAGTTAAGGTTAAAAGTAAAGCAAAAGCAAAGGCATTACTCAGATGGAAAAGGTTTCTGTGAGAAAAAAAAAAAAGATTTTAATACATTTTCCTGTTTCAGGACTTAGACCACGGTCAAAGAGCAACTCCACAGGAGGCAGTGCCATGACGACTGAGACTGACAACTGGAATGCAAAGGAAGGATAAAGTAGACACAATCCCCACGGACCACGAAGAGAGGAGTGAGGGCCACCTTCTCTGTGAGCACTGCTGTGCCTGGAAGGACACGGTCCGAGAAGCAAGCTCAGTCTCTGTGAAGGGCGTGTGCTCGACACAAAGAGACAAGTTCACACGGACGTCTTCACATCTCAGTCCCTCCTGCAGCCTGGTCCTTCAGAGCTTCTTCCCTCCTGCAGCCCTCAGCACGGCGGTGCTAGACAGGTGCTACCTGTACTCTCCTCGGGTCTTCCTCTGACTACTCTGGGACATCCATTGTGCGTGGCTGACCTGCTGCTCATGGAGAAAGACCTATCATGGGGAAGACAGTAATGGGCAAGGAACACTTCCCTGACACTGAGGCAAGATTTGTTAGTCAAGGTGTCCAGAGTGTGGGGAGATGTAATTTAGCTTGTCAAACATGTGACGGACATAGTAAGCCTCAATGCAATGCTCAGACCACAAATATCTCTCTGAGTGTACAACATTAGAAGAAACAAGGCTTTCAGTCACAATTGAAATAAGATATCCCTGTAACACACAGAGTCTATATTCATGGAGAAGCTATAACACGATGCTCCAAAGGGCATCAACGTCCTCTCATCACTGGGCCCACACTGTGGAGCACCAACAACGGGTATGCCACACGTGGTCCCAGAGAAGGTGACTTTTAAAAAGAAGCCATCCATACCTACAGAGGCCAGGTTTCTGATGGTTTCCATCATCACGTCTCTGTAGAGTTTCCTCTGGGCAAGATCCAGCAAGGCCCACTCTTCCTGGGAAAAGTCCACAGCCACGTCCTCAAGGGCCACTGCGTCCTGAAACATCCCACAAATTCTGGTTCAGCAAGTTACCATGTAGTCTTAAGTAGAAAGAAAATGTTTTTAAATGATGATGGCAACATATGTACAAGTGTGCTTGACAAAATGTATGTATGTATGTATGTATGTATGTATTGTGATAAGAGCTTTAACAGCTCCCAATAAAATAATAAGAAAAGAAAAAAGTTACCATGTAGTTCAGTGTGTGAAAGAAGGGGGACAATGAGATTCTTGGGGAACTGAGATTTCCTAGGGATTTGACGCAGCGTTCAGTGTCCTACTAATGTCCAACCTAGGTCTGAGCAATCACCCCAGCCCTTCACTGTCTAGGTTCACTTCCTCACGGGCTATATTGTATCTCCGCACGTAATAACTCTTCCAATACAGTGAGCTTGTCTCCTCACGGTTTGACTATGGCCTTTTGCAAGCTTCTTCCTCTCTGTTGTGATGTTTCAAAAGAGAGAACACTACGAACATGAGTTAGACAAATGCTTTAAAATTTAAACTTTATGCCCACATTTCAGCATCTCTTCCATTGGTCAAGAAGGGTGTGCTGTTTACCTCTTACCACAGGACCACGTAGAATATTTATGAAAACATGATTCACAGGTGGAAAGCAGGATGAGCTGTGAACAAGCAGAAATCACTGCAGACACTGCAGCTTTTCCCTTAGCCCCTTACCATCTTGGGAGGCCCAGTGGTCTGCAGAACAAAGGGCAACTCAAAGCCCTGACCTCACAGTCTTCGATTTCAAGAACTTCAAGTGACCAAGAACCGGCAGACCAGCTGCTGAAAAGAGAATGT